CCGCCTGTTTGCCTAGCGGCCAGCTGTCCCACACACACAATTTCACAAACTTATATAGATAGATGCATGTACATGTGTGCACTATCACTTGTACAAGACGCTTAGACGTGTTCGCCCACCAGCCATGCTGTGCTCTACAAAACTGATGACACTCATAAGCCGATAGTGTCAAATCCACAAGCATGTTAACCCATTCTATGGCACAAGGTTGGATTAGCAAGCGCCCACGCCCACACACATATACAAACATCTATATATGTATATAGGTACGTGTATATAAACTGATATTCCAAGATATTGTCACAGTCAACCGGCTCTCGAGCTCTTTACACCCGTATTAAAATAATCCCTTACACACACATATACAAAAAACATTATTTTAGTGTGTGTAGATTTGCATGTAAAAGTTCTGCTTCAACTTTTCTGTGAGAAAATAAATTGTTTTATCAAATTTTTTGACATGTAATGTTGCTTGAAAAATACAACAATACCAAAAACAGCAGCACAGCAGCAACAATACGCACATATAAATTTAAATTAGATTTGGGTAAAATAGAAATGTTTTAAGCTTAACCGAAGTAACTACATAAATACATGCAAACATACATACATGCAAACATACATACACGTCTACAAAAAAAAATACTCGTCAAAAATATTACATAGATGAACTGTTTCAAAGCCAACTTTGGAATGCAAAAATTACAAACTTTTTGAAAACTACAACAACAGTTTCAGTTTTCGAAAAATAATTTTTATTTAACTTTTGAATTGTTTTAGTTATTTATGTACATCCAACCGTCTGCGCATTTTAGAAAGCAAAATATTCTGAATATTCGAGTAATATAATTTAAAAATTACTCTGCATTAGAGTTGTCATGTTTTGAAAAAATTTAGACGAAGTAAACTGGTCACATATTTTATAAATGTTTTAATAAATTTTGTATTGACAGTGTTGCCATATATCGAAAATTATAACACTGTGTTGCCGCCTATCTAAAAAAAAACCAGCTCAAACAAAGCAAATTATTACGACAAAGGTAAGGTATCTAATCTTAGCCGCACATTAAAAAAAAATGACACAAAAATTCTTTTCAAGTAAATGAGTTTATTTTAGACTTTTTTAGGAAGTCTCCGCTATTTAAAAAAAACGAGCAAAACACTATTAATTGCATTTCAAAGAGCTTAAGAAGTATTTTCGGAAAGCATTCGTGTATTTTATTTAAATACATTTCGAAATAGAGTTGCCAACTCAAAATTAAACATCCCTAAGTGAGGGAAAAAAACTTAGGCCGATTAATATTTAAGAAAATTTATTTTTATAAATAAATTTATTTTTTATAAAAATCCAACAAATTTTAGCCAATTTCAAAGCAAACATTAACATTTTCGACATTTTCGTAATTTTCAGAGGTTGTTTTTTATATGAAAACAAGTATTTGTCGGATCGCAATTTGCGTAAATTCAGCGCCATAAATCGTCGGTTTTTTAATTTCTTATAGAATGCACATCCTCACCAATAGGCTGCTTCACTATACTATAACCCCATAATACGTATATGTCCGAATCTTCTCAGAAACTATCCAAGAAACATTTTTTCCAAAGCCTACCTAGTACCTATATTTAGTACTCTATGTCGGTGTCAAGAAATTGAAATCAAAAAAACCAAAAAAAAAAGATTTTTGAACTATTTGTAGTATTGCTAAACAATTTATATTCATTATGCTTATATAAAAACAAACACAACTCAAATTATGGCAATCTGAAGTATTTTTCACGTTAAGCTTTTATGAAAAATTTAATTTAAATGATTTTCTTAATTTCCTACTATTTTAAAATATAATATTTACACATGTGTCCATTTCTATGTAAATTCGCTGCGCTTTTTTGCACAAATATGTTTGTTTTTATTGTTATTGCATTGATAAGCGTTTATAATGAATTTACTTAATTACTATTATATTTTGTATATTTTTTCATGTATGGTATGTATACATTTTTTCAACACTAACTGCCATAATTATGATAGCGCAATTAATTAATGACGAAACAAATTACTTTTCAATTAATAATAAATTGTGTTTTAAAGCACACAGGTATAAACGTTTAATCTGCCAACAGTAATGATACAATTTAAACATTCAAAAATTTATTGAGAAAACAAATGCAATCATGCATACATATACATATATATTGTATAAGAGTATGTTGATATGAAATAATATTTATTATGCCTGTGGGACTTTAAGGCGGCGCTGAGTAATTTATGATAAATTGCGATCCCGCTCACATTGCGTTTGTAAATTGCCAAGTAACAAACTGGAAATGCCCAAAATATGCCAACTGTGAAACTGCAGTCGACGATAATTAAAGTTATGAAGTGAATTGCTATATTTTTTTTAATGATTTTCTTATAAGTAGGAGCACTATTTGTTATTGGTTGAAGGTTTATCCCAATTTCTATTCCTTATTTAACTAATTAAAAATCACTCTCAGCAAAGAGTGGCATTAAAGGAGAAAAAATTGATGTGATAATTTAGTCTCCTTCTATATAAGCAATATTCCAGTCTAGTCAGGTTAATTCACTTTTTTTTAGAATAAATAAGTCAAAATAGAAATATAGTTCAAGCATAAGAAGTGTATTAGAGTTAGCAAAGAAAAAGTGCGAAATAGATCATTATCTTTAGTTATTCCATACAAAATGTTGTTGTAATTCCAAAGATAGAGCAGACTTTTAATAGTGCATACTTTGTTTAGAAAAGTTTAACTCTTTAAATCACATATGGTGTCAGCTGAACTTTTCCTCCGAAAACTATTTTGAACTGTTTATGGTTCTAGAATGCACCACTAGGTACATTTAGCAGTTAAAATGTTCTAACAAACTATTTTCCTAGAATCTGTAGAAGTTGCCATAAAAAACAGCTGTAAAATATTTTTAGAACCTTTTAACATTAAACATTTTATTTTTTTATAATTTTGTAAAATCATTTTAAAACAAAGGTGAAAATAGAGCACAGTGTGGGAGAAACCCATTAAGCTATATAAATGTAGTGTTCGGCATACTGTAAAAACTATTGTTTGTGTGAGTGTGAGCGAGACATGGGGAAAAGAGAAAGTAAGAAATAAGAAGGGGCGGGAGTTAGGCTCTAAATGGCATGTAGGACAATGCTCTTAAATTTTTTTCCACTTTCAGATATGTTAGAAAGCGTTATTTAAATCAATTAAACTATTTGCCTAAAAGGGTTTTCAAATACGTTTAATAAATGTTCTTATATATATATATGTAATGAATTAAATGACCAACAAATGCACTAGATTTTATTTTTATAGCTTGAACAAGTTATATTTAGTATGCCATAAAGTTTCTAGTAGCCAGAAGGAAACATGGGAGATCTTATTTAGTATATACTACCAACTACACCTCTACATATACTGTCAGCGTGATGAGCTGGGTCGATTTAATTTTCAATAAACAGATTCAATTTTGATATACTTTTTTAAATTCAATTTCTGATATACGGTTTTGAAATTATGCACATGTCTTTCTTATCAAGAAATATGGTTCGAAAAAAATCAAGTCCTTGTATGGAAAACCTTTTTATTTGAGCAGTTCGGCATAGATTATTATCCAAAGCATTACTGCAATATCTGAGTAAATTGTTCAGATCGGATCACTATAGCATATAGCTGTCGTACAAAATGACCGATCAAAGTTCTTGTAAGGAATTCCTTGTATTTGTGAAGGGCATTATAGCTTCGGTGCAACCGAAATTAACGTTTTTTCTTGTTTTCTTATTAAGTTATCTTTCTATCTTCAAATTTATATTATATTACGACTTTTAGAAATAGTATTATATTTATTTTTGTGTAATATTTACACTGTACTTTATATGATTTGAATTTTTAAGTATTATTTATTTATTTTTAAGCTTTTTGCTTCTGAAAAAAATTAATACTATTTCCTAATAATTAATTAATTGTGTATTTATCATTAATGAATTATTTATTAAAGAATTTTACTTTAATAATAATTCTGCTTTTTAAAAAGAATTCACGCTTATTGGGCATGAAAATGTATTGTTGATGTACTTGATAACTTCCATGAGCTTCTAAATTGGTTTTTATCTGAGCAATTAACATATGAATTTATTTGGTATTATTTTTTAAGTATTGTATTTCATGCTTAATATTGTTATTTTTTACTTCAGAAAAAACGTGCCTTTGCAGTGCTTTATTTAAAATCTATCACAGCTGGGCGTGTGTACTTTAATTGTTGTTTTTTTTTTGTTTGCGTCTTTGTTTTTGCCTAAAACGAAGGCATAACTGACGATTATAATTAAATTATTAGTGCATTACAATATATTAATTACAATATGCAAATTAATTTATATACTTAAAAAATTGCATTGTAATAATATAATGTTGACAGAGCTTTGCTTTTATTGTATTCAAGTTACACAATAAATATGGTCTCTGTCCTAGTTTGGACAGCTAGGGCAGAACGCAGCTGCTCAAAAGCTTCGCACAAACAAATACAACAATAAAAACAGATAAATATATACATATATGTTTTTCACATTTAAATAAGTAAATAAATATTTGCTTTTCATTTTTTACCAGCACTTTTCATAATTTTTTCAGTTAATTTTTTTTAAATTTTTTTTCTTAATATTTTTATTAATTTTTAAATCTTTTATATATATGTTGTTGTTTTTAATTTTTTTTTTGTTGATGTTTTGATTTTTTAATTATTATTAGTATTTGATTGCTTATATTTTTCATATGTTTTACATTGAATTCTTTTTTTATTTATTTTTTTTTTAATTTTATTTATCTATTTCTTATTTTTTAATATTTTTTATTTCATTTTTTTTTATTATTTTTTTTCATATAATTGTTTTTTTTTATTATAATTATTTATTTTTCTTTATTTTTTGTTAGTTTTTTCCTTTTATTATTATTTCTCCTTTTTATTTTGCAAACTCGTCCTCGAAATTTACCTTTTTATTGCCGCTGCATGCATTCATTAGTATTTTTCGTATTTGTTTTTGGAAATTCAGGAAGGCGTGTGTCACATTTGTTTACACTTCAGCAGCGATTTCCGCTTGTTGCCAACTTTTCACTACAAATTACACGCGCTTTTTCTGCTGCTGTATTTACTTATGTTTTTGTCGTTTATTTATTAATTTTTGCTGTAAAAAACCACGCCATAAAAAGAAAAGTGGAAAAGTTTATTTTTCGCAACTTTTTTACGCATTCATTTAAGTTTAAATCGGTATATTTTAATATCAAACACTTGCCAACATTTCACCGTGCATGTGTATGTGTGGTAAGCGCCTGCACTCGTATTAAATCGTCACAATTTCCTCACTCATTCACGTGTGAATTTATGATTTAGCTTTCGCTCTGCAATTTTTTCCTATTACAAATATTTTCCTTGCTTTTATCTGCTTTTTCACATACATGCATATATTTGTTTTTGTTTTCGTTTTCTTTTTGTTGCTTCTTGCACTTCATATCACTTATCCGGCACGGACTTCACACAAAATGGCACACACACTCGACGCCAATTCATCACGCACCAAAATCGCGCGTTTTTTATTGCACATCCGCCTGCCACATGGCGACGCTCACATGTATGTGTGTGTGTGAGTGTTGAAGCGACGCATTCAAAACTTCATGCGTCCTGCATGCTGACACACGTATTTATAAATTTTTTATTTGTTTTTAGAAACAACTTTTGCTTTTCACACACACTCACGCGTTCCGATTTCGGTGCGCGTATAACGGTAGGTTGGAACGTACAAGTATATCGATAAGCGTCAGGACATCCGCACGTTCTGAATGCCAACACTGAACTAGCGAGATCGCGGCAACTGTTGGGTGCCGAACGTGAGCGCTGCCGCTGCTGCTGCATCGGTTGGTGGGTCGTTAATCGGCATCCGCAAGCAAAACCGCACTGGCACAACAGCAATAGCGAAATCAGGCGCTGGCATTGTCGCCGTCGCCGCCGCCACTGTTGCCACTAACAAAAGTGTCGTCGTTGTCCATCAACGGAACCGCCGACAAGTTGAACGACAATGTCTAAGGCAATGGGAAGGACTGAAGTTTGTTGCTTCTTTGAATTGCCAGCCGACCGACTGCTGCCAGCTAAGGTGCGTGACCGATGTTGGATGGGTGGCACAGAACTACGAAAATATTAGAGCGAATTTGTTGATTTTAGCAGGAACTTTACATTTTTTAAACAGTAACATATTACTGTTCCCGGCGCTCTATCGCTGTAAATATTATGCATGCTGCAGGATTTTAACAGAAGAGTAACAAGCATGCTTTAAAATTGGTGTCGGCACTAAAAACTGTTACTTTGTAGAACTGTTCCCACTTTTTTGTGCGCCAAATGGAAATATTTGTTCCGCGTCGAATGAGTCTAAAAGTTCGTCGATGTGGATCACAGAACGGCAATCCCCAAACATAATGGTCTTTACATTTTCGGCCGTTAGGATTCACATTCTACAGGGAAGGTTTCTGGGGTTAAGTCCAACATTTCGACTATTCCTTAGTCTTTGACCAATAAAAGATCCTGAACTTTGTCCATGTTACCTTCTGTAATAGCCGTTTTCGAAGCATATGTGTGATATCATCAAAACCACAAGAAGGGTTATCATATTCAGCATCCAAGAGCTCTTAAGCCGAATAACCGACCGATACGACAAATTTTCAATTTTTGGTGCCATCGTACGGGTAGACTCGGTGCGTTTAAGACAATCCTCGTATTTAAGCTGAGATGTTGATGTTAATATATATTATTTTATATAATATAGTACAATTTTAAACATTGGTTAGGGTCTAGATGGTCCTTCCACCTCAAGTCTTGTTAGCATTTTGTGAAGCCTATAAATTTAGAATTATGCTAAAAGCATTAAAGAGGAATCTTCCTACAACAGTTCCTCTGTTTTTTCATTCTCAGGTCATTAAAGAATAAGACAATTGAAAAGTTATCACTTCATAGTACTATTTTTACGCAAAAGCTTTCAACAAATAAAAGCTATTTTGTACAGCTTTTACTATAAATAGTGTTATTAATATTGGTGCATTTCTAAAAGACACATGTAATGTAACTCCAGATACTTAAAACATTTAAAATGGACTCAAACCCATAAATGTACACAAATGCACCTTTAAGAAAAGCATCCCCTAAAAGCAGGGGTGATTTTTATAGAGAATAATGCACTTTAACCACCTGTTAAACGCTAGGTTAAGCTTCCTGTTTACTTACACAGCTTTTGAAGGGATGAAAATAATAACGCGTTGAGGGATGTTCTTTCTGGATGAAATGATTTTATAGTAAATTGAAGAATCCCATGACGTTAGAAAAGAAACAGCTTTCTGTAAAGTCTACTGGAGTCTACTGGAGTTCTATGAGAATGGTTGTGAGCGAGTTACTTAGTACTAATTCCTGTATATCACAGCTTATTCAGCACTTTTGTACCGCTATTAAGGTTTTTAAGTATGACAGATGTTAACAACAGAAATTAGATTAACAGTATAACAATTCTTAAAAGCTGTCCCAAAAGTTTGTTGGCGCTATAGTCTGTAATCAAAGCTTGCTTTTGCCATAAAATTATTATAATTTTATAATTATTGATGATATATTTTTTTAACAGAAAAGCGGGGTTATTTTGTACTAAACTTTTTTCTAAAATGCTATTTATTGATATTTACGAGCCTAAATACTGGTGAGGATTTTCAATTAATCACACTATAAGTTTGCCAGCATTGCTGGCATAAACTGTAAAAGAGTGTAAAACTTTTGAATTTTTACAGAAGTGAAAATAATTAGAATACTTTGGTTCGACCTACATTAAATTAGCAGTATTTCAAAGTAATATCAATATTAAAATATTGCGAAAACTATTAACAATTAGCCAAAAAGGATTTATAGTTTTCGATTTGTTTGGGTTTGGGTTGTATTTTTTAATTTATGATCTATAAATTTTAGTTTCTTTTAATAATTTCTTAAAATTTTAGCATAGCATGCATATTTAAAGACTTTGCTTTACTTCCACCGTACGTTTATAAGCAAGCATGTTGCCTATACTTAGGCAATCTTACATAGAACGAACATGAAAAGAAAAAGGTCAGACCGTCTTCAATAAAAAAATTTTATAACTTTTAGCCAAAATATATGCTAATAAAGGAATCTCAACTGAAATATTACTTTTAAATAGTGCTACCATATCTTTAAAAATTGAAAAAAAAATTTTAAACATTATTACAACTTAAAAGAAACAATAAGGAAAATATTTGTTGTTGGGGGTTGCCAAATATTTGAAAAAAAATTAGTTCAATTGAATTGTAAATGTATTCCCGTATGAGCATCTAATTAGGCAGGATTAGGAATGATAGATATTTTTGCAAAGAGTTGCAACTGTTTATATGTTAATTTTATTCAAAAAAACACTTATCAAAATAAGAAACACTATAACGTTAGTATTCGACTGGGAAATAAACAAAAAAATAATTAAATGTTAAATACATTTTTTTTAGAAACGTTATCAACTGTTCAGAATTAAAAGAAGTAAAAAACGTATATAAATAAGTTTGAGAAGGGTTGCTATTTCTTCATAAATTTTTTTTATATAAGATACAAATGCAGACGCCAAACAGGTTAAAGATTACTATCTGAGAAAGACGTTTTTTAAGGGAGGAGAGGAATCACTTTAAAAACTACATTTTAAAAAATTTTAAGAAAATTCTCAAGTAATAAATAAATTTAATAATCAATAGATATAATAATCAAATAAAACTATTAAAAATTAAAATTTGAATAATAAAATATTATATGGATAAGATAAAAAAAAAATCTAAGTAAAAAGTTTTTCCGAAATTAAAACAAAAACTTCGATTTAAACACATTAATAACAAACCATCCGTTTTTTGCTTTTTCTCTTTAGATCGCGAGACGCACATAAATTAGTCTTTAAGTATAGGTTGGAATTCCGGTAATTTCCATTGTGCCAGTTAGCATTTATTGCTGCGGCACACTTTACTTTAGTAGTGCAGCGGTGTCATGCAATACGATTCATAAAGATTTCTATAGAAACAACTGTAAAATGCACACACACACTTTCTTCACACCTCCGAACGCACACACCTCCTTTGAAGTGCTACTTAACAGTACTCTGTAGACGCTTAGCATACCACTGTTAACTGTTAATATCAGCAACGCTTCTTATACATTCCGTCTGTTCCCACTTCCGTCCGCTACGCATTTACATTTCTCTCTTTGTTAAGAGTCCTATTGAAACTGTAAAGGAATATTAATTTGTAATTGCATTTCCGAAAATTTGTAGGCTTAAAGAAACGGTTGGTGGATTGGTGGTGCTGCTACCTAGACGTTTCGGCTGGGGGACTTATTAGTTTGTTTTCTTTGAAAGTAAGTTCGATTGTAATATGCTTAGTACAGGATTGAGTCTGGTAGTCTGACTGTACAAGAATGTGTATATAAATTAAATTAGCATCATATTTGATTAATATATACCACCTAGATCAAGTATTTGAAGCGGGACTTCAAAGAAAACCTCTTCTTAAGACTTTACATTTTTTTCACCAGAGCCTAGTCGATTTCACGTGAAGTCCTTTTTACGCTCTTTCTTCAGCTCAAAAATAAGTAGATGGAGGGCAATACGATTTTCCCAATCCCTCTCCAAAGTATAACCAAATAATATCTAATATCTACCAAAAACTAACCTCTACAGTTTGGAATCATCACATCGAAATATTTATTGAGTTCATCGTCCCTTACTTAATTGAAAGTGCCTAGTCCTCAAGCCTCTAATTAGCAAATGTCTGTTAAAATAAGAATAATACGAATACTAATGGTTAGAAATCATTACTTTACTTTTCACACAGACAAATTTAAACTTCAGCTGAAGTCACATCAGCTTCAAGTTTCAGGCAAATAGGCATTACTCAAATAACTCATATTTCAAAAAAACACAATGGACGTTAGTAATCTTAGCTATTATTTTCATCTTCCGGATTTCTAACTTCTTTTATGCCTCAAAAATGTTTACGCTTCAATCAATCAAAACTCCTCATTATTTGTGCTAATTCGCGCAAAACATAAATATAAGTATAAGAATATTACTCGAAAACCCAGTGAGAACAATCAGAAAACTTTAAGCCCAAACCAGCATCAATTTGGGTTTGGAATATGGTGATTTTTAAAACTAAGGCGGGTGAGTTATGAATTTGTTCAGCATTCAAAATTAGTAATAGGTTTGGTTTACCTTATCACAGTTCTTAGCAGTTACTCCAGCTGTTATTGGTAGTCTCTCCGAAAATTAGGAACGTGTAACTTGTCAATCCCAAAATAGATATTTTACCTCATTTACACATTGAAAAATTGTTTCATATAATTTTTCTTCGAAAGATGCCACTCACACTAAACAACAATTAACAATTTAACTTTCCTAACACTTTTGAACGGTTGGCAACCCTGCTCGAGAAATATCTTTAACTTTTTTAAAACGCCACAATTTGATGAGGAAATTTTTCCAATTATGTCTATTCATTTATTGTTATAACAAAAAAAAATGGCTTTATTAAAATTTTTAAACAGTTGGCAACCTCTAATTTTATTTTGTGTTGAACCATTGTATTACAATAAATATGGAAAAAATATAAAAAAAACACTGTTGTTGTTGTAGCGGCAGAATTTTGCCCAGTCTTTGGTCGGATAAAGTCCGAGTCTGTTCCGGTTACGTCGACCCGACTGTCGTGGCAACGGATAAAAAAAAAACACAAAAAAATCGGGTTTTTTGATGTCACACAATATTATCGAATCGAAATCGATAAAGATTATTTTAGAAATAACTAAATGGAAAATAACAAACAGCTGGAGAACTTATCAACTCATGAAATGAAAATTACATATATCTATACTCGTACATACATTAACAAATGTTTTATATTTTTCCCTTTATAATAAAAACCAGATTTTCTCATTCCAAACAAATAAATATTTTTCTGTAATAAATTCTTTTATATTTAAAAAAAAAATCAAATTATTTAATTAAAATTTTAATTTTCATGTCAAATAAAATATGACAAACTCAATAATATTTTTTGCATTAAATGGTATTTAATTAACAAAACACTTCGATAAATTTCTTATTGGGC